AATATTTGTTTCTAAAATTCCTGTGATTACATTCAAATTTGGATTTAAGGAACTTAAAGGTAATAGAGAAGACTATATCAGACTGACTTAATTTCAAAACAAAATTCAAACCCCACTTTTCCTGTCTGCTCACTCCACTCAAGCAGAATGAAAAAGACCAACAACAGACATGATTTTTCTTCAACTAATCCATGAGTTATTGCTTCAGTGTCATGTGTATAATTTTTCCAAGTGACAATCCATTTGAAAAGTAAGGTAAGTGATATGGTATTTATACATCTTTTGCCATGTCTGTAAATACACACATATATTTATTCTATTTAAACACAATTACTATGTGAAATATTTTGTTTTTATATTATAAAGCCATGGTAAAGAGCTCTACAATTCATTTCTGTGCAATGAGAGGGGATTTGCAGTGCCTCATTTATTTAACTTTATGCAAGGGATACACTATATTTGAAAATCCATGCTAGGGCTGGAGACATAGTACAGCGGGTAGTGTTTATCTTGCATGCAGCTGACTTGGGCTAAATCTCTGGTCTTCCATATGTCCCCTGAGCACCACCATGAGTAATTCCTGAGTGAAGAGCCAGTTGTAACCACTGAGCATCACAGAGTGCGACTCCGCAAAAAATTAAAAATGAAAACTCATGCTATTTTTACTGCTAACAAAAGAATTAGCTAAACAAGTAAAGTAAAGTAAAATTTTTTAAATATAGAATTCAGAGGCTGGAGTGATAGCACAGCAGGTAGAGCATTTGCCTTGCATGTGGCCAACCCGGGTTCAGTCTCCGGCATCCCATATGGTTCCCCAGCACCGCCAGGAGTGATTCCTGAGTGCAGAGTCAGGAGTTACCACTGTGCATCGCTGGGTGCGACCCAAAAAGCAAAATATATATATATATATATATATATACATATATATATATTTCAAGGTTTTTTTTTTTTTTTTTTTTTTGCTGTTTGGGTCGCACCCAGCAAAGCTCAGCACTCAGGAATCACTCCTGGCGGTGCTTGGGGGACCATATGGGATGCCAGGGACTGAACCCGGGTCGGCCGCGTGCAAGGCAAATGCCCTACCTGCTGTGCTATCGCACCGGTCCTAAAATTCAGTTTTATACTAGAAATTACTCTATTTCCACTGCTACTTCAACCATCTCTAAATAAATTATCTTATTTTTATTTCTACCACGTAAATTTAAATCAAACCCATAAAAGTATTTAAACAGGTTAACAATAAAGTTCTATTGTTATGCCCAACGTATCTCCAAATAAATAATCTCAATTTTCTTTCTACCACATAAATTCAAATCAAATCCATAAAAATATTTAAATAGGTTAACAATAAAGTTCCATGTTATATCAAGGCATTGCCAAATAAATAAACTCAATTTTATTTCTATCACATGAATCTAGATTAAACTCATAAAAATATTTAAATAGGTTAACAAAAAATAAAGAAGAACTTATTGTTGACAAATATTTAAATAGGTCAGTAACAGATTCATGCAATTAAACATTGATCTCAGAGACACACACATTTGGCTCATTCCTTCATTTTACACTGATCTATTAACTTCGGTTCTTCCATTTGGCAGTTTCCTTTTTCTTTGCAATGAGATGTAACTCATTTACTCCTACTATTTTGCAAATTTATTTTTAAAATAATATAAATATTCTATCACTATCTAATTTCTTTGCTTTTTTGTTCTACTTGCAGCAATGCTCAAGACTAACTTCTGGCTCTGTACTGATGAATCACTCCTGCAGATAATCACTCAAAAACCCATATGCAGTGCCCGGGATGGAACCAGGGTCAGCCATATGCAAGCTAAGTACCTCCACTCCATACCATCTCTTTGTTCCATTTTATCTTCTTTCAGACAAAGCACTTACCACCATGTGCAACTGTTTAACCAAGTTTAAGCCTCCTTGTTTATTTGTCTTTCTCTCCATTAGTATACAAGTCCCAAAAAAGAGGACTTTTAGCTTGTTTTCCTCATTGTTAAATACCCAGTTCCACTGAGCAGTACCTAAGACATATTAGGTACTCCACTTTAAAGAGGTATACATTTACATAATTACTATGCATTATTCATTAATGTGCTATTTTACATTGTGTTTCTACGGTTAGAAAATTGTAGCATCTCATTGCAGGTTTGTTGTATTATAGACATTCTGTTTTGATATTGTTTATATATTTTGTTTTGTTTCGTTTTGGGTCACACCTGGCTGTGCTCAGGGTTTACTCCTGGCTCTGTGCTCAGGGATTCAGGAATCACTCCTAGAGGTGCTCAAAGGATCATATGGGGTGCTGGGGATCGAACTCAGATCACTTGTATGAAGGCAAGCACCCTGTCCTGTGCACTATCACTCAGACCCTGTTTATAACTTTTGTACCCACACTCATAAAATGAACCTACAATTTTCTTTCATGATGTTGCTTTTGTTAGCTTTATGTAACCAAATCTTCCTCAAAAAAGACATTTTATTTTTATTTTATTTTATTTGCTTTTTTTGGGTCACACCCAGAAATGCACAGGAGTTATTCCTGGCTCTGCACTCAGGAATTACCCCTGGCGGCGCTCAGGGGACCATATGGGATGCTGGGAATCGAACTCAGGTCAGCCGCGTGCAAGGCAAACGCCCTACCCGCTGTGCTATTGCTCCAGCCCCTAAAGACACTTTAAAAAGTTAATATTTGCAAAGGAAAGGGTCTTCTGGTTTAAATACATGACCATCACATAAAGAAACTCATAAACTTGTCATGCAGAAATAGGCTCAGATACTAGTTACTGCCATCTGGTCATTCACATAGTAAGAGATCTGACTGATAATGACTTCTGCTGCAGGAATTTTAAAAAGTTGAGTTGCATGAAAGTTAATTTCGCTCTATTAAAACTACTAACTTAATGGAATTTCTAGACCTAAAGTCAAATAATGATGCATACTGAAATTTTTAAATGTCTGTGCTGCAAGAAAGAGGTAGTGAAATGGAGGGAATAAGGAAACAATTCATTTCAGAGAAACAAAAGCAAACAAACAAGATTCAGATCAATTTTCCTACTCACATGCCATCTTCGCAACTTCTTTCCATAAAACTTTAAGAACATTGAGAATCTGCATCTATCAATAAAAATTTGACTAGTCCTGGAGCTGGAGCAGTAACACAGTGGGTAGGGCGTTTGCCTTGCACGCAGCCAACCCAGGTTCGACTCCCAGCATCCCATATGGTCCCCAGAACACGGCTAGGGGTAATTCCTGAGTGCAGAGCCAGGAGTAACCCCTGTGCATCGCCAGGCGTGACCCAAACGCCAAAAAAAGAAAAAAATTGACTAGTCCTGTATTTCATCCTTCACTGCACCTGAATCAAACCTGATAGTGATTGCTACTTCTTCAACAATTCTATGGCTTTACTTTCAAATACGGTATCTACAGCCCATGTACTAGTCAAAAACTAAAGTAAAAATAATATGTTTCTGCTAGCAATGAGCTGAGCCAACTTGGTCAGCCAAGTAATCAAGTCTTGGCTTCCTCATCTATAAGAAAGTGGGGGAAATGCTGTATAGTTTCCATGGAAAGAAAGCAACATGTCAATATTTATCTATTTAATACAATACCTGACAAACAAATCCACTTCCTATGAATGGGAAATGATGCACTTAACATGAGTCACTGCAGTACTGTTTATAATAGCAATACTCAACATGAAACATAATGTCTATCAGTAGGGTCCTAGTTTAAAAAATTATGGCTTGTTTTGATTGTGAAGCCCCCCCCCCCAAAATAAGAATGAGGCAACTATTTAACAAAGTAACATGAAAAAGCCTCCAAAGTATTTTAAGCAATAAGATGAAAATGCAAGAGTGTAAAAGCTGGGGTGGTTTTTTTTTTTAACCTAAAAAACCAAAAAAAAAAATCTGTATTTGCTATGATAAAATATTTCTGAATGGCTACGAAACTATTTACATTGAGTACCCAAAAGGAGAACAATATACAGAAAGGAATGGGAGGGGACCTTTGCAATGTACTTACCTTCTGAATGCTATAACTTTCTATTTCTGATTTTAAAAAAATGTCACTGTCACTGTCACTGTCCTCCCGTTGTTCATCAATTTGCTTGAGCAGGCCCAGTAACGTCTCCATTGGAGACTTTGTTGTTACTGTGTTTGGCATATCGAATACGTCACGGGGAGCTTGCCAGGCTCTGCCGTGCGGGCGAGATATTCTCGGTAGCTTGCCAGCTCTCCGAGAGGGGCGGAGGAATCGAACTCGGGTCAGTCATGTTGGCTACGTGCAAGGCAAACGCCCTACCACTGTGCTATCGCTCCAGCCCATTCAAGGCCCCATATTTAATAGCCAGCACCAAAAAAATGTAGAACTAAAAATTCAAAAGGTGTAATTTTTCCTTAAATATAATCTACTGTTAAAAGAGAGGGGAAAATTATATTAACAAAGTACAGAGCACTGCACTATAGCACTGTCCTCCCTTTGTTCATCGATTTGCTCGTGTGGGCACCAGTAACATCTCCATTGTGAGACTTGTTACTGTTTTTGGCATATCGAATACGCCACAGGGAGCTTGCCAGGCTCTGCTGTGCGGGCGGGATACTCTCGGTAGCTTGCTGGCCTTTCCGAGAGGGACGGAGGAATCGAACCTGGGTCGACCACGTGCAAGGCAAACACGCCCTACCTGCTGTGCTATCGCTCCAGCCCAACAAAGTACATATAACACCAATGAAATCACAAGTTTTTTTTAAAAAAAAAATTCCAGGTTAGAGGAAATAGGAACGGAGTGGAAAGGAAGCAGCTGACAGAAGGTGAGGCGAGTTGAAATGAGTGATAACGGAAGGACATAGCCTCCATGCCTTTTCCCAGTTATCCTGCATGACAGGCCTGGTTCTGCCAAATTTACGTTATTGAAAAACATGAGAAGGCAAAAGTTTGTCAAAGGAACAGGACTTATGACAGTTTTTACAGCAAGAAGAAAATCTTACCTCAATTTTCTTCAGTACATCTGCATTATTAGTGAGTGAAGTGTCCTTGCCTGGACCTTTTGCCTTTTGGGGTCGGGGACCTGCTGAATTAAGATCACTGTCAACATATGTTCATATCAGAGCAACTCTATATTACTTTAACTCTCAAATGCTATCCAGCATAGTGGGATGCTGTCAAATATCCAGGAATTTGCAGAATAAATTTTGTTTAAAGAATAAATTAGCACACTTCTCCAATTTTCTATGATGAGAAGTAAACGATAATCACACAATAGCATCTTTTCTAAGACTGCATCCAAACATATTTGTTAGCCAATATTAAAATTTTGAACTGGATAATAATGTCATTAAGTCTAAGTCACTAAAGGGTTAGCTCTTGAAGAGTATGAGAGGTCCTCTGAGGGTTTTCAGAAACCTATCATCTTTATTGGCTTACTGTTCACTGATCAGCGTGCTTTTTTTAAATGAGGGCAAGTGTACCAGGCTTGACAAAAAACATTTGTAGGATAATTGGGTACTTGCTAGTGGTCAGATATGGGCAAAAGGCTACATTCACTATAACACAGAACCAGTTTTGGAACTAAGATCAGTATTGGTTCAACAGAAGGCACCCACCATGTGAATCTGAAAAATCAAAGCAAGCAAATGAAACAAAGTGTTATAACAACTTTGATATATTTTTAATTCATAGCACAATTGTTTCAGGTTTATTCTGAAACTTCAGGGAACAGAGAATTCTTTTTTTGTTTTTACCCTACACTTTATTTTTTTTTTTAATATTTATTTATTTGCCTTTTGGGTCAAACCCAGCAATGCTTACGGGTCACTCCTGGCTCTGCACTCAGGAATTACTCCTGGCGGTGCTTGGGGGACCATATGGGATGCCAGGGATTGAACCCGGGTCGGCCGCGTGCAAGGCAAACGCCCTACCCGCTGTGCTATCACTCCGGCCCCATTACCCTACACTTTATATAAACACTGTGGTTTATATGAAATCTGTAAAATTATCAAAGTTGTTAAGAAAATAGCTCTAAAACATTACAGCTACAAGGTTAAGACACAAAAGTGAACCACTTATTCCTATCTACCAAACCTTAATAGTGGAATTTGAAATCAAACAAATAATACCACCTAGGGGAATGGAAAAAACTCAGTGCCGAACACCCACCTCGAAGCATGAGCCTTGAGTCCAGTTCCAGCCCCACTAACACAACATGCCAAGCTGGATCCCAGCAACACTTTTGGATCCCTAGTGCAATATCAAAGTGTGTAATTCCTGGCACCCTGTGATTAAATTCTTGTACAATCGCTACAACTAAAACGTGTGCCAGGGGGGCTGGATAGATAGTAAGGCAGGTAAGGCACGTAAACGTGCGTTCAATCCCCAGCACCATTAATGGTCCCCTGAACCCCACCAGGAGTCATCCCCTAGCACTAAGTTAGGAGTGAGCCCTGAGCAACGCTGGGTGTGGCTGTAACACCAAAATAAATAAAGAAAGAAAGAAGTGTGGTGGCTGGCATGCTAATATTACCTGTCACTCTCAAGAACGCAGAGCAGATAGCACACAGCAACACTGTCCACTGTCACTGTCCTCCCGTTGTTCATCGATTTGCTCGAGCGGGCCCAGTAACGTCTCCATTGGAGACTTTGTTGTTACTGTGTCTGGATATCAAATACTCTCGGTAGCTTGCCAGGCTCTCCGAGAGGGGCGGAGGAATCGAACTCGGGTCGACCATGTTGGCTGCGTGCAAGGCAAACGCCCTACCGCTGTGCCATTGCTCCAGCCTGGAGCACACAGCAACAAAGAAGAAAAACTGCTGGGAGGCTCCACAGCTCCCGGAGGATGCTCCAGGTCCCAAACAGAGCCAAAACCACCGGGAAGTCCCTGATGGGTTAGGCACCACATCCTGCCTTCTCCAGATGGAACCCCGGTGACCATGAGCCTCTACAAGCATAGCTCGGGCACGCAGGAACCAGGACTTTTATTCCAAACTGCCAGTTCTGCCCTGGCTCCCGTAACCTCTGATTCCGGAAGTCACACCCACAACCTGCCCCCGCCAGCGTCATCTTTACAGCACACAGCAACAAAGAAGAAAACCACTAGGAGGCTCCAAAGCTCCCAGAGAATGCTCCAGGTCCCAAACAGAGCCAAGATCACCGGAAAGTCCCAGATGGAGTAGGTGCTGCATCCCGCTTTCTCCAGATGGAACCTCAGTGACCATGAGCCTCTACAAGCATAGCTCAGGCATGCGGGAACCAGGTCTTTTATTCTATACCGCCATCTCCTTATATACAAAGTGATCAATGGAAAGTAAACAATCCAACGTTTCTCCCTGAAAATCAGGCTTAACTCTTTTACAAACCACAACACCCAATAGGAGAGATAGAACAAAAGGGAATGCCCTGCCACAGAGGCAGGGGGGGATGGGGGGATGGGGGTGGGAGGGATACTGGGATCCGTGGTGGTGGGAAATGGTCACTGGTGGAGGGATGGGTATTCAAAATAAATAAATAAAATTAAAAAAAAAAGAATGCAGAGCAGACCTGCTAAAACATAATTTCATCCAACTTTCTGCAAACTGCATGAGCTCATCTTTTCTCTCCGCTGAGTAATATTCCACTGTGAATCTATCACAATTTCTTTACTTTTTAGGTTTTGGGGCCAAACCCAGCAGTGCTTAGGGCTTACTTCTGGTTCTGCACTCAGGGATCATTCCTGGTAGACTTAGGGGACTATATAGGATGCCAGAGACAGAATGCTGGGCCGACTGTGTGCAAGGCAAATGCTCTAAACACTTTACTATCACTCGAGTCCTACCACGTTAACTTCATTAACCAATAATCTTTAATGATTGCTAATCTCTGCCACTGGGAGGCAAAAAATCCAGAAAAGGCAACATAATCTTGAAAATCTTGAAGGAGATAACGGAGTTGGAGGACTGACAACACTAATTTTTTTTAATCAATTCATAAAGTTTTATATTCATTACCATATTGAATTTCATAGCATTTTCATCATCCATTATCTCCCTTTTATTTCTATTAACACAAACACTATCCTTAGCTCTGAGCAGATATTACTTGCTGTCTATATTTGCTTGTTCAGGACTTTTATATTAATGGGATCATATAATATGTAGTCTTTTGTGATTGGTTTCTTTCTTTTTTTTATCATTTTTTTTTTATTAGTGAAACACCATGAGGTACATTTATAGACTTATAAATTTTTGTGCTTGGGTTTCAGTTATACAATGATCAAGTACCCATCCCTCCACCAGTGCCCATCCTCCCCCACCACGGGTCCTAGCATCCCCCCCCCCCCCCCCGCCCCGTCCCACCCTGCCGCTGTGGCAGGGCATTCCCCCTTGTTCTCTCTCTCTTCTTTTGGGTACTGTGTTTTGCCAGAGAGGCATTGAGTGGCAATCATGTTTGGTCTATAGACTACTTTTAGCATGACAACACTAATTTTAAAACATGTTACAAACTGATAGTTAAATACTGTGGTAGCACTGTAGCACTGTCCTCCCCTTGTTTATCAATTTGCTCAAGCGGGCACCAGTCATGTCTCCATTAAGAGACTTGTTACTGTTTTTGGCATATCCAATACGCCGTGGGGAGCTTGCCAGGCTTTGCTGTGTGGGCGGGACACTCAGTAGCTTGCCGGGCTCTCCAAGAGGGATATAGGTATCAAACCCAGCTCAGCCACATGCAAGGCAAACGCCCTACCTGCTGTGCTATGCATGTCAATGGAATGGATCTACGTCTTTAGAATAAAGAGAACAGAGGTAATAAATAGAGAATAGTCATTTTTAAAATCCACATAAATATAGAAGAGGGAGCAGAGGTAATACAATAGGGCAAAAAAGATCTTTTCAACTTGTTTCAATGGTTTTGAAATAAGTACACTTAATGCATACATAAAAAAAGGACTCTAAAATAATTTAAAAAAAATTTTAAAAAAAAGGTATCTAGTCAGGTCTAGATAGACCTAACACCCGTCATAAAAGTTTATTCAAAATGAATCTCCTACAAGGTAAAAACACAGGAGAAAATCTAGATGACCCAGGGTTTGTAGATGAATTTTAGACACAATAAAGGGTACATACTCCTGGCTGTAGGTTCAGCGATCACTCTTGGAGGGATCAGGGGACTTTGTGCCATGCTGGGGATCAAACCCAGGCTGGCTCTGTGCAAGACAAGTGCCCTACCAGCTCTCCTATGGCTCAAGCCCTGAAATTTCTTTTTTTAGTTGCTAATTCCTTGTTCTTAACATCCTGCAACTAACCTTTTTTCTCTTCATTCTTTATAATAAAATTCTCCCAAAGACTTATCTCTGCTATCTAGCTACATTTCCCAGGCTTCCATTTATTGTTTAAGAATTCCACTCTGGGCCGAGATTAGTACCAGGAATTTTGCTCCATGGCTTGGAGGCCAGCCACACGTGCTAGGGGAAAAGGGAGCTCAGATAGAGAAGGGAGCACCAAATAAAGGGTGTTGGGAGGATCCTCCCAGGATGGGAGAAGCATGCTGACAGTAGACTAGACCAAACATGACTGCCACTCAATGCCTCTCTTGCAAACCACAGGACCCAAAAGGAGAGAGAGAGAACAAAAGGGAATGCCCTGCCACAGAGGCAGGGTGGAATAGGAGATGGGGGGTGGGAGGGATACTGGGATCCGTGGTGGTGGGAAATGGGCACTGGTGGAGAGATGGGTACTTGATCATTGTATAACTGAAACACAAGCACAAAAATTTGTAAGTCTATAACTGTACCTCATGGTGTTTCACTAATAAAAAAAAAATTCCACTCTGGATTCCACTGCTAAGAATCTTCTGAAAAACAATCACTCAGATTGACAATGATTAACACGTCAAAATAGGTTTACAGTTTCCAATCTTGAGCTTATTTAATCCAGCAGCCTCTTTGAACTCCTTAAATGTTCTGAGATACTTTTCATGCAGGCACATTCTTTCTATTACCACTCTACTCACTGGTTCTCCTCCTCTCTCCTTCTCCATCTCCTTTCTGAGTTGATTAAACTTCCTCTGCCAACCCATTTCATTTTAGAATTTTCCCAAGTTTAGGCCTAGGCCTGGCTCTGCACTCAGGAATTACTCCTGGCAGTGCTCATGAGGCCATATGGGATGCTGGGGACCGAATCCAGGTCAGCTGCATGCAATGCAAATGCCCTACCCACTGTACTATGACTCCAGTGCCTGAATCAGTTTTTTTTTAAATTTTTTTTATTAGTGAAACACCATGAGGTACAGTTGTAGATTTACAATTTTTTGTGCTTGGGTTTGATTATACAATGATCAGATACCCATCCCTCCACCAGTGCCCATTTTCCACCACCATGGATAATATCCCCCCACCCCCATGCCCCCATCCCCCCCTGCCTCTGTGGCAGGGCAATCCCCTGTGTTCTCTCTCTCCTTTTGGGTGTTGTGGTCTGCAAAAGAGGCATTGAGTGGCAAACATGTTCAGTCCATAGTCCACTTTCGACATGCATCTCCCCTCCTGGGAGGATCCTCCAAACACCCTTTATTTGGTGTTCCCTTCTCTATCTGAGCTGCCCTTTCCTCTAGAATGCCCGACTGGCCACTAAGCTATGGAGTAATCCTCCTGGTGCTGATCTCAGCTATTCTTTTTTTTTTTCCCTTTATTTTATTTTAATTTTTTTTTACAGTTGTAGATTTAAATTTTTTGTGCTTTGGTTTCAATTATACAATGATCAGATACCCATCCCTCCACCAGTGCCCATTTTCCACCACCATGGATAATATCCCCCCACCCCCATGCCCCCATCCCCCCTGTCTCTGTGGCAGGGCAATCCCCTGTGTTCTCTCTCTCCTTTTGGGTGTTGTGGTCTGCAAAAGAGGCATTGAGTGGCAAACATGTTCAGTCCATAGTCTACTTTCGACATGCATCTCCCCTCCTGGGAGGATCCTCCAAACATCCTTTATTTGGTGCTCCCTTCTCTATCTGAACAGCCCTTTCCTCTAGGATACCCGGCTGGCCTCTAAGTTATGGAGTAATCCTCCTGGTGCTGATCTCAGCTATTCTTGGGTATTAATCTCATACTTTGTTACTTTATATCCCCCAGATGAATGCAATCTTTCTATGTCTATCCCTCTCTTTCTGACTCATTTCGCTTAGCATGATACTTTCCATATTGTACCACTTGTATGTAAATTTCATGACTTCATCTTTTCTAACAGCTGCATAGTACTCCATTGTGTAGATGTACGCCTGAATCAGTTTTGTTAATAATGTTGGGCTGGAGCGATAGCACAGCGGTAGGGCATTTGCCTTGCACGCGTCCGGACCCTCTGAGCCGGGCTCGATTCCTCCGCCCCTCTCAGAGAGCCCGGCAAGCTACCACGAGAATCTTACCCACATGGCAAAGCCAGGCAAGCTACCCATGACATTATTCGATATGCCAAACACAGTAACAACAAGTCTCACAATGGAGACGTTACTGGGCCCGCTGGAGCAAATCGATGAACAACGGGAGGACAGTGATACAGTGATACAACATCCGTCTATTTTTCCCTTCCACCTCCCACCATGCACCAATATATTCAACATTTCTAAAGGAAACTTAAAGATCAACTTTGAAATAAACTCACAATTTTCTATCACAAACCTGGTCTTCTCCCATGTCTCTTCCAGCATCATTTAGATAAATTCCTAGTTACCCATCAACTTGAAGTTTAATTCTACTTCCCCTAAGTACCGTTTCCTCACCTCTCAGTGCTGACAGTGTGAATGTTTAATGCTTTGAATTCACTGAAAGTAAACCTTAAGAACGCAATGATTAATCCAACTCTAGTCACTTATTCCTCCCAGCACTGTGACCAACAATAATAGATGCTCAATGACTTTACTCAGTGAAACTATTAACAACAGAAACCCTTACTTAGGTACTTTTTTGTGTGACAAAATGTTTTGTCTTACCTTTTTTAAACTTTGGAAAATGTTTTAGTTAAAAACTTAAAATATGGAAGCCGGAGAGACAGTACAAAAGGTAGGGTCCTTGCCTTGCATGTGGCCAAGCCTGGTTCAATCCCCAGCACCCGATGTCGTCCCCTGAGCCTGCCAGGAGAGGTCCTTGAGCACAGAGTCAGGAGTAAGTCCTGCACACAGCTGCGTGGAACCCCCCACCCTCCCAAAAATAATGAACCCTTAAATTATATGTATTATAAACACTAAAACATTACAAATATTCTATTGAAAATGTAGACATAATTGAAAAACATTTCCAGTATATCAAAATTGCATGATTAAGAAAGGAAAGACGGAGCAAGCAATCAGAAGCAGACAAAAGGAAAACCAATAAAAAGTCTTAGCAAAACCATCAAAATGTCAAACTTGTTTTAAGAAAAAGCTTTCAGAACACAGTGCAATTTCAGGTTGACAATATCACATTTGATCAAATTAAATCAGCTGCCCTTTCCTTCATGGATTAGCATTACATTTGTCAAAGTACCTTTTTTGAACTGTTTTCTTGGCATCATTTCTCTTGGTAGTCTTCTCCAATCTGTGTATCCAAAAGGAAAAAAAATAGAAAACTTTTAAGAACAGTGGCACTGGCTTGAAGTACACATTGATTGGTGTTCATCTTTTTTCTTTTCTCTCCATTTTCTTGGTGGTAAGTGGGGGGAATTCCAAGTGGTGCTCTTAAGAGTCCTAAGGCCCCTACCTGGCAATTGGTCAATCAGGCTGGTGGTTTAATGCAAAGGTATGATGATCTGGTGCTGTTCAGATCTTACAGTACCAGGGATTACTTGAGCCACCTCAGCAGTGTTTGGGGGTCATCCCTGATGATACTCAGGGGACCATACGTTGCTTGGGTTGATCCAGGATTGAACCCCTGTACTATCTTCCACGCCCTCCAAATTATCTTTTTATTTGCACAGCTTTAACGTGAGAGTCAAAATATAAATATGATATTCTCTCCTATGAAGAAATATGTTGATTCAAAATAGCTTTGAAATATTGCTATAAAAATCCTTCTGGGGACAGCGGAGAAGCTTCCCAAGCTGGCTTAGAGGACTCTGAGTCACACCCAGCAATACTTGTTCTGGCTCTGTGGGCCTGACGGTTCAATGCTCAGGTCCAGCCATGCTTGGCGCCACGAGGGCAGTGCTGTGGGGGCCATATGGTGGTGGGATCAAAGCCAGGGAGCACATAGGCAAGGCATATAATCCTCGGTGATGGAGTCAGATTCTCAGTATCTCCATAACAGTCCTCTGATAGCGATACACTGATTACATACTCACCTTAATTTTGTTTTTGTTGGGGGGACCATACCCGGCAGTGTTCAGGGATATTTCCGGCTTTGCACTGAGGAATCACTCTCAGCAGCCTCAGGACTGAGGACTATGAGGACTGGGGATCTAACTGGGATTGCCCCATGGAAAGCAACAAATGCCTCATCCCGTAACTACCTCCAGTAATAAAGTCAACTTTAATTACATAAGTTTTATAAGATAATCATGTAGGGACTGGCGTGATAGCACAGCGGGTAGGGCGTTTGCCTGGGTTCGATTCCCAGCATCCCACATGGTCCCCCGAGCACCGCCAGGAGTAATTCCTGAGTGCATGAGCCAGGAGTAACCCTTGTGCATCTCTGGGTGTTACCCAAAAAGCAAAAAAAAAAAAAAAAGAAAATCATGTAGAAAAATGTTTAATATTTATACCTTCTAAAAAGTGAATAGATGTGTGAAATTAGTGAATTATAATAATTATATAAAAATTAGGAACAGAAAAATAGCTAGGGAAAAATAAATCCCTCCAAATAAATATATGTCTGTATCAGTTAAGTGAATCCTCTAAATTCTCATTTCCTTCTAATTTTTAAGAATATTCAGAAAAATGTCAGCTGCGTGCAAGGCAAATGCCTTACCTGCTGTGCCATCGCCTCTGCCCCTCTCGGAGAATCCGACAAGCTACTCAGAGTATCTTGGCCCTACGTCAAAGCCTGGCAAGCTACCCGTGTTGTATGCAATATGCCAAAAATAGTAACAACAAGTCTCACAATTTGTTGTGAGATGTTACTGGTGCCCGCTCGAGCAAATCGATGAACAATGGGAGGACAGTGCTACAGACAGTGCTACATTCAGAAAAATGAAGCAACATAAAACAGAGTTTAAAAACATGCCTCGGGCCAGAGAGATACTACAGCTAGTAAGGTGTTTGCCTCCTATGACTGACCGGGTTCAATCTGTGCCAAGAGTGACGCCTGAGGCAGTCAGGATTAAACCCAGAGCACTGTCAGGTGTGGCCCAAACCCCCTCTTAAAAACAAACAAATAAAACTAGACTAGGCATTTCTTCAATATCACCAGGACTACAGAACTAGCACTATTAGGGCAATAGATGAAAACTGTGATTGTGGTAAATGAAATGGAAAAAGCCAAATAGGTAAGTTCTTTTTTATAAAGCAAATTTTTAACAATTTCCACAAAAACACCTCAATTCCTTTTTTACTCTAGTATTAAACACTTCAACTGTTTTTTTTTACTATAGTATTAAGATCTTTTCATCTTAAGTTCAACAATCTTATATTACCCGTTATTTTTTAAAAATAAGTCATTTTCTTTTGATAAATGGAATTATATCCTAAAAATGTAGGATAGGGACATAGCCTTTAATAAAATTAACAATGTTAGTTTTATTATTACCTGGTATCCATTCTTCTTTGTATACCTTCATATATCTTTTACTGTACCTTTCAATATCTAGAAATACAGAAAAGTATTCACTTAACAAATCACGAATAAACCTGCATTCAAGCCATTTAAAATAATCAAAATGTTTCCTGCATTTATACATATTGTGTTATTACATACTGAACCAAGTTCACCAGCCATTACAGGTTTAATATCTAGGTGACAAGATGGATATGAAGCACTATGGATGAGCAAATACCTAAAAACCACTGAGGTTTAGAATCGGACAACCTGGCTTTTCTGTGAGAATTTAAAAAAAAATTATTTAAGACTTTTACTAACAGGTGCTTGTAGTTTGTTGACTTTTTTTTAAAAAATAAATCAAGTTGTAAACTTTTTATTACAAATTAAAAATGAGGTTCTTAAAAATTTCAACTTGACCAGATATGAAACAATTTAAAAACCTTTAAAGGTGTATTGAGGGCTGGAGCAATAGCACAGCAGGTAGGGCATTTGCCTTGCACGTGGCTGACCCAGGTTCGATTTCCAGCATCCCATATGGTCCCCTGAGCACTGCCAGGAGTAATTCCTGAGTGCAGAGTGCAGTAACCCCTGTGCATCACCGAGTGCGACCCAAAAAGGAAAAAAAAAAAAAGGTGTATTGAGAAAAAAACAGGCTTCTTTTTTTTCTTTCTTTTTCTAAAACTACATTTGTCGGGGCTGGAGTGATAGCATAGCAGGTAGGGCATTTGCCTTGCACGCAGCCAACATGACCGACACAGGTTCGATTCCCAGCACCCCATATGGTCCCCTGAGCACCGCCAGGAGCAATTCCTGAGTGTATGAGCCAGGAGTAACCCCTGAGCATCGCCGGGTGTGACCCAAAAAGCAAAAAAAAAAAAAAAAAAGTTTGTCATTTGTACACCAGACTGCCATAAAGACAAATAACCCCGGGAAGTGCCTTCCCCGTGTGGGAGACCTTGGGTGTGACCTTGGATGCTGTGGAAGGAGAAGAGGAAGAGGAGGCAGAGGCAGCAAATGCTACAGGCACTGGTGGAGTTCCAGTGCCAGGCAGAAAATACACTGCAGGCCACAATCAGTGTAGATGCTATCCTCGTCACAGAGGTCCTCCACGCAATTACCAGCAGAATTAACCAGAATAGGGAGAGCGGGGGAAAAGAATAAAGGATCAGAGAGTGCTCCCGAAGGCCAGGCCCAACAAGGCTAGCCCTACTGCAGGTGACCGGTCAGCCCTACTACAGGCGGAGACCCTCAGGGCGTTGGCCACAGTATCCCAACCCTCCTGAGCAGGAAGAAGTGATGGAGGGTGCTGACAACCTGGGTGCAGGAGAACAAGGGAGACCAGTGATGCAGAATACAGATCACGGTTATAGACTACGATTCCGCAGGGGCCCGGCTTGCCAAAGGCAGCCTAGAGAGGACGGCAATGAAGAAGATGAGGAAAATCAAGGAGATGAGACCCAAGGTCAGCAGCGATCTCAACATCGGTTCCACTGCAACTTCAATTACCAACACAGATGCCCAGAAAACCCTACACCACAAGATGGCAGAGGGACAAAACCAGCAGATCCACCAGCTGAGAATCCTTCAGCTGCCGAGGCTGAGCAGGGCGAGACTGAGTAAATGCCGGCTTACCATCTTTACTATCATCTGGTTTAGTCATCCAAGGAGAAGAAATGAACATGAAATTCCAGCAATAAGAAAGAAACAGAAGATTGGAGCCGAAGACCTTAAGAGCTTGCTTTTTCCCATTGACAAGATAATCATCTGCATTATGTATATAGCATGGGGTTTTTATTTCTTACCTAAAGATGTCTCTTTTTGGTAATGAATTTTTCAGAAAAGTGCAAAGCCAGTTAAGGAAGCCACTTACATACAAGAGCAGGCAAGTCTAAACTGCATCTTCTCTGTTCTTCTGATAATGGTCTGTCATTCACTTCAAACATGTCCTACACAAACACTTAGTTTCTGAACGAATCTAGAGGTTTCATAGTTGACTGAGAAAAAGAGTAAGGGAAGGAATAGGAACGAGGCAAAGTAGGACTTCCTGTGGCAATGAGAAGATAGTTGTGTCTCTTCCACAAGGACTGCTGCAGTGGACTACTGAAGTTGCCCAAACTGGGTGGCTTTTGCTTCGTCTTTGCAAGCTTTGCCATAAGAAATGACCATGGTGAATTCCACCCTTTTCCAATAGTACTAAATGGCAAGCAATGTCACCAGACATTAGCTGCAATCCAGGGTTACTCCATAAAAAATGATTTAGGAGTGTAGCTCCAAATAAAGGAAAGATAATACTAAGGATGCAAATATAAATATCAAGATCCAGATCTCTAGAACTGCAAGCCTAGAACTACATCTACAGGGGCTGGAGCGATAGCACAGCAGGTAGGGCATTTGCCTTGCATGCAGCCGACCCCCGGGTTCGATTCCCAGCATCCCATATAGTCCCCTGAGCACCGCCAGGAGTAATTCCTGAGTGCAGAGCCAGGAGTAACCCCTGTGCATTGCTGGACATGACCCAAAAAGCCCAAAAAAAAAAAAAAAAAAAAAAAAAAAGAACTGCACCTACAGGGATTAGCCAGAGTACCACAGGGATTAGCCCTGAAGATTCCCAGCACTGTATGCAGATACAGAGCACTCAAAGCATTACTAGGAATGGCCCAGGACCCACCCCCTCCACCTCCTCCACCCCTCAGCATTATCTGGTAAAGCACCACCCTACAAAGGAAACCAAGGCCCAAATATGTGCAGTGTTTTGTTGCTGTTGTTTTTGTTCTTGTTGTTTCGGTCTACATTAAGACATGACGCTTGCAAATAATACAAGGTTAAAGATAAAGAACTAAAAAAAATATAAAGTAATTCAGAGGCCAGGAGACCAGGTTTTTATTTTAACTGTTCGATTTCAGGTTCAATGTTTAATCTTGTCTCAAGGTTTTCATTTGTATAAGTGATTGCAAATGAGGGAGTCCAAGCATTTGTGTTTAAGAATTTTCTCCAAACAGATTTCCTATTTTGGAAAAACTAACATTTAATGGTCATGGTCAAGGTCCTCCCATTGTTCATCGATTTGTTTGAGTGGGCCCAGTAACATCTCCATCATGAGACTTGTTACTATGTTTGGCATATCGAATACGTCACAGGGAGCTTGCCAGGCTTTGCAGTGCGGGCGAGATATTCTCGGTAGCTTGCCGGGCTCTCCAAGGGAGGCGGAGGAATCAAACCCGGCTCGGTGGGGCCCAGATGCGTGCAGAGCAAACGCTTTATCGCTGTGCTATTGCTCCAGCCCTAACATTTAAAATGCCATTAAAATGGTATTACTACTTACTATTGGGCTGGAGCGATAGCACAGGGGGTAGGGCGTTTGCCTTGCATGTGGTTGACCCAGGTTCGATTCTTCCGCCCTCTCTGAGAGCCCAGCAAGCTACCAAGAGTATCCCGCCCGCACAGCAAAGCCTGGCAAGCTACTCGTGACATATTCAGTATGCCAAAAATAGTAACAAGTTTCACTGGGTGATGAACAGGAGGACAGTGCTACAGTGCTACTTACTTACTATTACTATTTATACCTGAGATCAATGCACCTTTCTCTAAAATTTATTTTTTAAATGTATTCAGAATTTACAAAGCTTTTAATGGCAGTTTCAAGGGCATTCAATGTTCCAGTGCCAAACCCACCCACCAGTGTCAGCATCCCTCTCTCTTTTTTTAGCAAACTTGGGCTTTTGTTTTTCATTTTTCTAATTACAATTTTGGTTACAAGCTTATAATAGTTTTGACTATTGTGATTTTGATGTACATGGTAACCTCACTCCCACATCACCAAAATGTCCAAGACCCTTGACCAAAGCCCTAATTTTATTGCCAATCGGCCTCCTGATTCCTCTCTCTCCTCTCCTTCCCTGGCATTCTCATCTCTATGATCAAGGGCTGAGGGTTTGCCACCCTTTGGCATCTTCCATTCCGATGTCTTGTTATTCTATAAACCACAGAGAGGTGAGAACATCTGGCATCTGACTTTCTCTAACTTACTTTGCTTAACATCAGACCTTCCAATTCCATCCAGGTTGCAGTAAACTGCCTGATTTTATCTTTTCTTATAGCTGCATAGTATTCCATTATGTATGTGTATCACAGTTCTTTTTTTTATCCACTCATCTATTAATGGATATTTGGATTGTTTCCAGAGTCTGGCTATTGCCAAGGAATCATTTTATAGATTTTAAACCACATTCAAATAACTTACAGAAGAAACTGATAATCAAAACAGAACAAAAAAACTTATCAAATATATGGCTGAAGATATACAAAGGAACAAAAAAGAATATGCTAAGACGCTGAACCACATAAGTCATTATAGAAATTCAAATAACTCAGTGTGATTTGATACCACTTTTGTACCACTAGAAACAATGGTACGTAAGTGCAGGCAAAGATGTGAAAAACTGAACCCCTTCAGATTATCATTGGTGAGAATGTAAAAGAGTACAGCCATTTAAAAGACAGTTTTGCAGGTCACAGAGAGAGCTTAATAGGCTGAACAAACCCTCAATACGCGTCATATACAGGAGGCCTGGGCTTGACCCCCGGAACTCTACGGTCCCCGAGCCCAACCAGCAGTGACCTCCAAACCCAAAACCATGAAAAATACCTGAGCAATGCTGGGTGTGGTCCCCAAACTAAATGAATCAAACAAAAAGTAAGTAATTGTTAAATCACTATTAGGCAGAGAGACTGTACAGGAAGTAAGGTGGTGGTTAACTTTATATCTGAGCAACCCTTGTGTGATTCCTGGCACGAAATAATAATCTGAAGGGGTTCAGGTTTTCACATCGTTGCCCACACTTACCACCATTGTTTCTAGTGGTGCAAAAGTGGTGTCAAATCACTCGGAGTTATTTGAATTTCTATAATGACTTATGTGGTTCAGCATCTTAGCACATGGTACTCGGAGCTCCACCAGGACAGATTCCCTAAGCACAGAGCCAGGAATAGCTTTCAATCCCAGGTGTAGCTCATATCCCCCCTCCCCTGGTCAAGCCCAGGCCTCC